GCATCGTTCTTCAGTCTTCACCTTTATTTGTATAACTAACGCTTTATACAATACTGGGTGTGTCAAAGCAGCTTTTCAGTGTCAAACAGGAAAATTGTTTGTCAATAATGCAAGAAGACAAAAACAGAGTTATTTTTCCAGATAAAGTCAGTTCATTGATGATTCAGTGATGTCATCATCCAGTTCAGCTCTCTTCCAATAGTGTCTGTGCAATCAGTCAAGCGTCCCCTCAGCTCCTTTCTGTGTCACATGTTCCTTCAGAAGTCATTCTAATATGCTGATTTGATGTTCAACAACATTTCTGATAGTTATCAATGTTGAAAAAGTTGTGCTGTTATTTTGTATAATATTTTTGTAAAAATTGTGGATTTTTTTTCAGGATAGTTTGATCCTGTTCAAAGTTCAAAAGAACAGCATTTACTTGAAATAGAAATCTTTCGTACTCTAACATAATATCCTGCTAAATATTGATATAAGACTATTCATATAACTATGAACTAACTATTCAAAACCTTGAAGACAAAGATCACTTACATGAGAGAATCAATAATAGGAAACACAGCCCTCTCTCAGACCCTGAGGTTAACAGCTGCAACATTTTACTCCTCCACAGTGCTATGTTACCTTATTTATTCATTACTTGAGTTTCAGGTATTTGGTGTGCAAATTTAGAAAAGGCAGAACGTGGCAGCATCAGATCTGTTTATCAGTGCGTAAAACAATTGTGAAGTGCACAGACTGTAAAGGAAGAATAATTTCCCACAAGCAGTTTATTAAAAAGATCAGATCATTTTAAAAACAGGAGTCTGACCTCATCTAAACTGTTCTCAAGACAGAAATGAATCCACTTGTTTCTCTGAAACAACGCCCACAATTTATTATTTCCTGTTTTCATATATTTATGACCTACTTTAAACAACTGAATGGCTTGTATTTCACCTATAGACTTGTGAACTCTTTATTATGTCTCAGCATTTCACAAGTGAGCAGTTCTGAAAGTGTGAGCATTGCTAGAGCAGACATATCTTGACAAATTAACTACATGAATTTCCCTATTACTGAGAGTTAGCATGCTTTGCTTATCGGGATTGCCAAAGATAAGCCTAAAATGCGTGATTTCCTCAGGGTTTTTACCACTCCACATATAAACACAGAGCTCTCCATCACCACTTCCAGAGTCATCCATCAACCCGCCCAGCTCTGAGTAGTGTTTTTCCATCACATTTACGTTAGATATCATCATTTCCCTCCACTCACTTCTGCAACGGCCTACTGGCATCTGAGTACTTTCCCTTGTACTCTGTGAGACATTAAAAATGTGTCAGTAGTTAACCTGACAACACAATGAAAAACAAGTATGCCATGCTTTCAGAAAATGTAGAGTGATGGACATGATATACTGTATATTCAATATACAGTATATACAATATTGTATACTGCAATATTGAGGCACATAGTGCTTTATACATCATTATTGCATATACAGTACAGTTTGAGGGATTTAAATAATGTCATAAACTGTTTTCATATTTGGGACAGATGATCACTAGAGGTCCACAAGGGGGTGTTTGGGGGTCTGCGGAAAATGTGAGATTTGAAATTAATAAGAAATTAATATAAAAAAACTTATATTAATTATATATTATTATACTGTATACATATGTTTAATGCAATATTTATTATTTACAATTTGATTTAAATATTATTACTGTTTCATTTTGCTTTCTCAAGCCTGGTGGGAATTAATTGTAATTATTTTATTCTATGAACAAGTTGAATGCTATAAATCTAACATCATTCTCATAGTGAGTAGAAAGAAAATATACTGTTAACTTAAGTAAATATAATAATCATATTTTTTCTTTAAATACTTATGTGTGATACTTAATATTTTTTTCCACACATGAAAATGTATTAATGAATATATATAGATGTCTTTAGATTTTAGGAAGGGGGTCAGTCATAATGTAACAGCACTGAAAAAAATAACTTGTAAGATTTACTTGTAACAATTTGCACAAATACATTTTAAGTAAATTTTACTGCTCTAATATCAATTACAACTTACTTGCTATTATTAAGTAAAATCTACTTACTACTCTTACTTAAATCTAATTGCACTCTAATTAAGTAAATATTTCTTAAAGGGGTCATATGATGCGATTTAAATTTTTCCTTTCTCTTTGAAGAGCCGTTCCTCACTTTATCCCTTGGCCTCTGCTCACTCTAGGATGCCGTGTGTGATGCTGTGTTTCGTTGTGAAAGCGAAACTACTTTGTTTGGCCTTCCAAAAATGGACACAACTAGA